ACTGAGCTGGGAAGGTCCCAGGTGTTGAGGTCCAGCAGTGCGCACTGAGCTCGGAAGTTGGCGAAGAGCTTGGCGAAGAGTTGGCAAGGCGGAAGTGGAGGTGGAAGTTGATGCAGACATGGTCGAGGAGAAACTGGAGGAGGAGGCGGAGGAGGAGGAGGACAACAGCTTTGATAAAATCTAACAACCCTCACCTGGCAGGTGGGGAATAAATAAATATACTATACCTAGAAACTTTTTCAGCAAAAAAACATGCCGGAGGCAAAATTTTGTTGAATTTACACCGGAAACTTGTAAAAACCTGGAATTCTGCACAAACGCCGGGGAATTAAAAAAAAAGCCGGATCCACAGATGTATGTTGAAGCAACAAAATGCAGAAATTATTTTACTTCGAGTGATCCCACCATGACATTTATACATTTAAAAATAGCAAATCTTCTGGCATTCGATCTGGCATTGTCTCTCGCAAATCTTCTAAAATTCTATCTGGCATAGCTTCTGGCATTCTATCTGGCATATCTTCTGGCATTCTTTCTGGCAAACATTCTGGCACTTTATCTGGCATACCTTCTGGCATTCTATCTGGCATATCTCATGGCATCTTATCTGGCATATCTTCTGGCATTCTATCTGGCATATCTTCTGGCACACTTTCTGCCAATCTATGTTGCATATCTTCTGGCATTCGATCTGGCAATCTATCTGGCATATCTTCTGACATTTTATCTGGCACATCTTCTGGCATTCTCTGTGGCATATCTTCTGCCATTCTATCTGACATTTTATCTGGCATTCTCTCTGGCATACCTTCTGGCACTCTATCTGGCATATCTTCTGGCATTCTTTCTGGCAAACATTCTGGCACTTTATCTGGCATACCTTCTGGCATTCTATCTGGCATATCTTCTAACATTCTATCTGGCATAGCTTCTGGCATTCTATCTGGCATATCTCGTGGCATTTTATCTGGCATATCTTCTGGCATTCTATCTGACATATCTTCTAACACTCTATCTAGCATATCTTCTGGTATTCTATCTGGCCGTTGAGGTCCAGCGGTGCACACTGAGCTGGGAAGGTCCCAGGTTGAGGTCCAGCGGTGCACACTGAGCTGGGAAGGTCCCAGGTTGAGGTCCAGCGGCACACTGAGCTGGGAAGTTGGCAAAGAGCCTGGAGAAGAGTTGGCAAGGCGGAAGTTGAGGTGGAAGTTGATGCAGACATGGTCGAGGAGAAACTGGAGGAGGAGGCAGAGGAGGAGGAGAAGGCGGAGGACGAGGAGGAGGAGGAAGAGGAGGAGGAGGAGGACGAGGAGGACAGCTAGCCGAGGAGGAGAACAACTCTGATAAAATCTAACAACCATCACCTGGCAGGTGGGGAAATATACCCATTTCCAATTGCGGCGGAATTGAAGGCAATTATGCCGTATTATGGGCAATTACGCCGTCTGGAAACATGAATAACTACTTCAAAAAATCTGCAAACCAGAATTGCCGCCGGCGCAGGTTTGAAAACGCCGGGAAGCATCAGAAGGCACCTTTTACCAGGCACAGTCGCCTTTTTCCTACAAGGCAAAAATAAAAGGGCATTTGGAGTCTCTAGGTATAAATAAATGAAGAACTGAATAACTTATTAGAAGAAAACAATAAACAAATAAAACATGAACATGATATTCATATACTACGTATGTGTCTGCATTAAGAGAGGGTGTCGATAGGTAAATATCGCTCGAACATCAACCATAAGTAAGTATGCGTATGGGCCTTAACATATCTATATGGTTTAATGTCCCGTGTTGTTGTAACAGCTGGCAGAAGCGAAGACTGCAAATAAACAAATATATTCAATCAACCATTCTGGGCGTCCAGTCATTGTGACCTATACCAACAAGGCCACACAAAAAGTAGGATTGTTGACACAGAAATAGATGCCATTCCAATATGCTGGTTGGTTAAGATGGATTCCCATCATGGGTTATGAC